CTTGTGTTTTCTCCTAAATCTGTTTTGGGCTTTTTTTTTTCCCAAACCAAACCAATTTTTTTTTCTTTGAAAAAAAAAAAAAAGAGGAGAAAAGTGAGAAATGCTTTCCGAAAACGGCTAGATCAGAATTGGCCTAGAGAAGTCCACTTATAATTTCGTTTCTCAGTTATTTCCCATCCTTCCTTCTGTTGCAGTGGCACTGAACTACCAGTCCGAAGGGAGAATGCTGCAACTGAACCGTGCCAAGTTCAGCACCAACGGGAATTGTGGCTACGTTCTCAAACCCAAGTGTATGTGTCAAGGTAAGGGAGACAAAATTCTCCAGCCAACCATATCTTCTCTCCAGGACCCTCGATTCCAGTGTTTGCAACCTTGACATGCTGGGAATTCTGGGAGCTGAAGTCCATGCATCTTAAAGTTGCCAAGCTTGAGAAACACTGCTCTAGTCTACAGACTCTTTTGGTCCGCTTTGCGTTCCCAATTATCCTCAACTTTCTTGGCCCAGGTCTTGTTGAACACCTCCTCATTCCCCCAAATACTCTGCTTCCCCCCTTCTTCTTTCCCAGGTTTTCAGCCCCAGATCTTTAGCCACCCCATCTGGATTTGTGACTGAAGGGGGCGATGAGAAAACACCCTTGTGCTTGAATCCAGGCTGGGCTGGAAACGGAAAGCGCAAACTGCAAATGATCTCAATCATCAAATGTTGGGCAAAGAGCTTGTGTGGGATAGCCCAAAGATAGCAGAGAAACTAAAAAGTCCCAAAGGAGCAGTTGGGAGGCCCAGTGGATTTCAGCTCTGGTACGTCCTGCTGGTCATCTCAAAATGTTTTCTGCATCTCCTTCAGCCAGGTGGACCCATGTGGACCTTCCTGTTTGAAGATCCTGTATCACCTGGGTTGTCTTTCTCCATTTTCCTTCGCATCTCAGATGCCTCTTATCTGCTCTCGAGTGGCTTTCCATCGGCACATTAAGCTTGCGATGTTTGCACACCCCTGGATTTAAATTAAATCTTGCTCTCATGCCTGTGGCTTCCTGCCTGGCCCTTGTCCTGCTCCTGAATTATTATAATACTTTTTACATATGGGAGATGTGCTTTCCTGTAGTGTCTTAGCTCATCGCAGCCTCCCAAAAATTGATTTGTGTCCTTAACTTCAAATTAACTGCCCAACAAGGAATGTCCTTCCTTTCTCTGCTTTGTTCCCACCAAAAAGAGGAATTTCATTTGATCTACTGAAGATATTTCTTTATTGCCACTGGGGATGGCAATACTTAGCAAACTGTGATCTTGAGAAAACCTAGCAGGATCAGACTTGATTAATATGCAGATGGGAGATCACCAGGAAATCTCAAGGATTGGGATATTGAAGAACGTCCCAGAAGAACGCTGCGACAAATCACTTTTGTCCTGTTGCAAGAAGCCACAATCTCAAGCTTAACCTTTTACTTATTTATTAGCCTTTCTGGGCCTGCAGCTCCTAGAGCAGTTGATCAAATAGCTATCCTCAACACAGTAATAAAGCATAATCAAAGCCTGTTCACATGCAATAGTCCTCATAGGATGTAAGGGTTGGACGAGACATCTAGTCCAACCCCCTGCCCAGTGCAAGAATCCACCACAGACAAAAAGGCACAAAAGAGGAACCTGAAAATACTCCTATAGATTAAAAGAGCTGACAGGGCTCTTTGGGAAGTTGTCCTTCACTCATTGATTGATTGATTGATTGATTGATTGATTGATTGATTGATTCATTCATTCATTCATTCATTCATTCATTCATTCATTGAATGTGTAGGCCGCCCATTTCATCTACATGAGTCTGGGGGCTAACAGTGGAAACAGAGTAACAAACAATAAAAAGAACCAGAATGAAAAAGAACAGAAAAGGACATAACAATAGCAGCCAAAAAACACTAATAAACACTCAAACTAACCATGAAACAGGCTCACCCATGTTATCAGGGCCCCAGGCTCGATGGCAAAGCCAGGTTTTTAGTGCCTTGTGAAAGGCCAGCAGGGTAGGGCAAGTCTAATTTCTTGGGTTGGGGGAATATGTTCCAGAGGGTGGAAAAGGTGACCCAGAGGCTGTTTCCATGTTTCAGTAAGCTACCATTGCTTTAACTGTTGTTTGTTGGATAAACCACCACTGATTGGATTATTACGCAACATGCTATTCCAGCCTTTCCTGACCTGGGCAACTTCCCATTGTGTGGACTTCAGTTGCCAGAATTCTTAGTAACGGTCTTGCTAGCAGACAAATTGTGGGACTTGAAGTCCACACATCTGGATGTCACTGTGATGGGAAAATATTGGGCAACAATGAAAGCCAGAGGTGGACAGCTCTGCTCGTAGAGGAATACAGTGGTGAAGATGTTGACCTTGAACCAGGGAGATTCTGTTGGCCATGGAGAACTTGGGGCAGTCATTCTCTCTCAGCCCAGCCCACCTCACAGGGTCATTCTTACAGAGATAAAATTAGAACAAATTCTTTGCAAGCTTCCTTGACCTCTCAAAGAAAAGACAGGATATAAATATAATGAATAATTACAGTAATAATTTGCTTGCAGCCCCAAATAATGTGAGGCATGGTCTTCAGAAACCTTCATCGGTGGTTGCCAACTTGTAATTTATAATGTGACAGAGAGAGGAAATTAATAAAGGAATGACAGAAGAGCTAGCCCATTTAGTATATTTAATGTTAATTGCATGTACATGTCAATGAAATCAAATTGATTTTCATGTTTGTCTCAGCCGTATCTACTAGGAGTGGTAGTGCAGTCTGCAGTGTGGAAAAAGCTGCTTACTCCTGTCCTAGGATTTTGTGGATTTACGAAACCCACAAAATGGGCGGATCCCCCCAACCTGCCTGGACCCGCTTTCCTGTGTCCAGAGACCCCTACAGACATGACATTTGGGTTCACCTCTGCTGTTCATCTCTGTGCAACTTCCGTAAATCTTTTCCAGGGGTCTTCAACCCAAATTCCGAAGATCCGCTGGTGGGCCAGATGAAAAAGCAGCTGATCCTAAGGATCATCAGCGGACAACAGCTTCCCAAACCACGGGATTCCATGCTTGGAGACCGAGGCGAGGTAGGGCACCCCGCGCCCAGAGTTACATAGGAGGGGACAGCCATCCGAACGGAAATTCTACGGATAAACAAAAAATCGCCATTTTATGACACGCCTGGCGTCTTTTAATAATGGAATGCGAGACGCGCGCTCTTTGCCCTGCTTGTTGGAAGCAACCCCAACCTTTTTTGTGGGCTGTGTTGAAATAAGATTATTCAATGATCAGTTCTGACAGCTGCTAAAACAGCTGGAGGCAAAGCCACAACCTCAGTCGGTCCCGCTGGACCTCAAACGCTCATCGATAGCTTGAATCGGCTTGCGTTTCAGCCCCACCAACACGATCACCTCAAACGGAGTGGGAGGGTACGATTCATCGGACGGTGAGGATCTCAGTTTTGCTGGTTTTACGAACGCTGGGTGCATTTAAGTTTCAGAAAAAATGAAAGTGCCCTTCTAAAATAGGAGAATACTTCTGTTTTAGCTTGTCTTGTTACCTGTGGGCAAGGGAGATCCTTGGTCGAAAAGCTTGCAGCACAAAAAATTGGTGAACTTTCCCTATCAATTTCTCAAGCTGCAGAGCTGGAACAATCCAGGATGTCCACAGGGAAGGGGTCATTAAAGTCAAGATGGCGTCTGCAGCCACGCAATCAGGTCCGCTGCCCTGTTTTTGCACGTGCCTTGACTTTTTAAACCCTCCCCGCTTCACCGGTGCAGACGCCCCTGGAAAAGCCGTTGACCCACGAGTCTCCAAAACGCCCTTTAAAAAGTCTTTGAAGTGCCAAACCTGAAGGGACTCTTTTCAGTCTTGAACTAATCGAGGGCCGTCGTCTGAATCTGTAACTCAGAGAAGTAACCACCGTTCATGCTTTCTGTGCTAGGAAGCGCTTTCTCTTGGTGGAAAGATATTTGTGGCAGTTGGGGGGGGGGACAAATGCCATCTACGGCTTGCCCATTTTCCAAGAAAGCGAGCTCGTTTGCAAGCTGTTTTAAAATGGGCGTCAATACCCACCCACCCCTTTGCCCTCCCTTCTGGCCACATTGGAAGATCCATCAGGCAGCCTCATTTTAGAAAGATTACGCAACCCGTTCCTTTCCCGGGGTTTAGCAGGTGCTTGGCCCATTCCCTTTGTGCAAAAAAGGGCCAAGTTTGCTTTCTTGTCTGCAGGGTGCCTCTGGGGAGTTGGGAAAGTGCTGCCAAGTTCCTCAATCAAAGTGACAGGACCCTATTCACAACCCCTCCCTGGAAAGCGGAGGGGGACCAAATAAAATAAAATAAAATAAACCTCCCAGTGAACAGCCCAGAATCTCACTGTAAAACTACACTGAGTTGTCAGCCAAGATAGATGGCTTTCTTTAGATGGCCATCTAAAGATGGGTTCTGGGTTCTGTTTGAACAGCGTCCTCCCCCGAATTTTTTGCCCCCACTCCCCATACCTTAGCAGGATTTATTTTGCCTTCAAGCAAAGTTTTTTTTTCCCCGCTGGAGGGAGGGACCCTTGTGGGTGGCTTCTTTCTCCCAAGCTGTTAATTGGCCTGTCTGGGAAAAAGTAGCATTGAGTTTTTTCTTTAATAATCACTTCTTGCTTGGCGTTGGGGCTAAGCTTGAGAACGAAAGATGGGCCCAGCACACCGTAACACATATGGGATGTGTCGTTGTGCATCCAAATCATCTCTGTTTTTCTCCGATGCGCTTGATTTTTTTTCTCTTTGCTGCTGCTCCTGTGCGTTGACTCAAACAAAAGTATTTTGGTTCTGAATAAAGCCTTTCCAGATATTTGGCCACCCCAAATATAGAATACGTGCTCTGAGAAAGTCCAGTGCTTTGTAGCTTTCTTGAAAATGGCTCTGTTGGTCCAAGTTATGTAACGTATTTACTTTTCCATTAATTTGTTTGTTAATTTGAAGACGAGAAGATGGTTTATCTAAGCAGTAAGTGGGGTTTCTTTAAAAAAAAAAATCAGGGCATTTTGAGAATACATTTTGTATATATGTTGTCAAATGGAGCTTTGGAGAATTGAACCAGTGACCTTCTGGAGGAAAATGTGTGTTCTTCCACTGAGGAGTTTGGTCCTTCTACAGGATCAAAGGCCTCTGGGTGGCAAATGTGGAAAAGGCCTCTTCTCAGATCTTAAGAGAGCTATCTGTCAATTATTACAATTTATGGTCAACAAAGGAAGCCACCAGGTTGAAGAAAGATGCCGTGGTCAAGCTCTACTTTTATTCCAGGATATGTGACAATCATATCTCACCTCTTTTCCAGATCATAGATCCATTTGTGGAAGTTGAGGTGATCGGATTGCCCGTGGATTGTTGCAAAGAACAGACAAGAGTTGTGGATGACAATGGTATAGCTTCCCTGTTTTTCCTTCAGTTTTTACTGTCTCTCCTGCCATCTCTGCTGTAGGCTATCTATAAGGCCAAGGATATCTTGCAGTTACTCACAGAATCATAGGATTGGTTGAATCCTCCAAATTCATTTAATCCAATCACTATCTATGCAGAACATCTGCGCAGCTTCCACATCATCTGCTGGAGGAATTCTGAGCACCTGACAACGTCTGAGGAACTCTTAACTGTTCAGCAGCTCATTCCCTCAAGGAAGGTCTTCCTAAAGTTTATTCAAAACCATCATAAAGCAGCATCTCAGGGGTGCTTAGAAGTAGCTATGGGGGGGAGGGGCAAAAGACCACATTCATACAGCAGTAGCTATTTGTTACTGTGATGCTAAACCATTCACACAGCACAATGAGCTTGTTGACTGTTAATCTTGGATTCTTTTATTTTTTTTCCTTTGGTGGTTCCCTGTAGGTGCAAAGGTGCCCCTTTGGATGAATGCCTTGTTCAAATATTGAGCAGGCTGCAAAAGGGGGTTAATTTCATGTGAACCCAGGCAGTATATCACAAAGCAACACTTACACTTTTGGGATGTTCATGCTGTCTTGTTGAGGATGAACAGATAATACCAGTTGGAACAATTTGGGGAGAGCTGAGTGTTGACTATAGGTCAGTGTTTCTCAACCTTGGCAACTTCAAGATGTGTGGACCTTAAACCCCCCAAATACCCCCCCCCTCCCCCCTTGGCGGGGGGGTTTTTTGGGGTGGGGTTGCACCCCCTTGGTGTATCCACGGGGTGGGAAACTTGT